GGGGGAAGAAGCCTTTAAGGATGGAGAACAGTAAGGAGACCAGTTTGGCCAGAGTGAGTCAAAGAGCAGATGCAAGAAAAAGAAGCCAGAGAGAAAGAAAAAGAAAAAGAGGAGAGGAGCCAGGACAATACTGACTGAACACAGGTTGAGATGTACACCAAGACACAGTGTTTCGGTGGTGCTGGGGGGCTGAACCCAGAGCCTTGCATTTGCCAGGCAAACACTCTACCACTGAGCTATAGCCTCAGCCAAGACATGGGTTTGAATACCTCATATAACTGAGGCTAGCACACAGTCCTTTGCTACACCATCCTCTTTCATCTTTCCTATCTAGCCATCTTTTGCTGTTTTCTATCATTCCTGAAGACTTAATTTCAGCTCTCCATATAATATAGAGCTTAAAAGCAGTTAGCTTTTGAACATTCCCATATATACCCAGCCAATTCCTATGTCACCTTGAAGGAAGCTATCTAACCTTTCTGTGCCTAGTTTCCTCTACTGCGAAACCTGGATAATATAGCATTTAGCTCACAGGATTATTTTGGAGAATGAGTTTATACACAAAGCACTTACTGTGATTCTATTTCCATGTGCCAGGTACAGTTCTAGGTGTTAGGATAATAAGTCTGTGAACAAAATAAAGGGGCCCCCCACTGTCCCACCAGTGTCCTCACACTGCATTTTAGTATGGGAAATGGCAACCTTTGTCTGTAAAGGGCCAGACAAAGCCTGCTTAGCAGGCTATAAGGTCTCTGTTTCTACTCCAACTCTGCGACTACAATGCAAAAGTAGCCATGACAAGATGTAAACAAATGAATGTGGCTGAGATTCCATAAAACTTTAGTCACAGAAATTTGAATTCCACATAATTTTCACATTACAAAATATTTTCTTTGAATTTTTGTTCAACCATTAAAAAAGTATAAAAGTCATTCTTAGCTCTGACAGTTTATTAATCTGCCCATGAATTTGTGTATATATATTTGGGCATATCTGTAGCTTGAAGTGGAACAGGTTCACAGACTTTCAGATTTTCCAAGGGTTCTCTAACCATAAAGAAATTGAAAAGTAGCCCTATGGAATCAGTCTCAATAGTTACCTTATATGGACCCAAGCTTATCTCCATAACCCAATTTCTATTCTCTAACTTGAGACCCAGATAGGTTAAGTGACAGGATTTGATCATTCATCTCTCAAATGAGGGAACTGCACCTAAACTGTGCCTAAAGTCCTTTCTAGTGCTATCATTCTGTGACTGAACCTATTTGAAATCCATTCTATCCCACAACTGCCTATAACTCAACTTCCCATCTTTATTAATCAAACTCCCTCAACAAAAGAGAATTTAAGAGCTCCACAGCACTTCATATTCCCATTGAGTCTGTCTGCTTCACCTCTGTAAACTACCTAATCTCCCTCTTAGACAGTATCTCCAAATTCCTTTTAGTTTATAAACTATGAGCAGATATTCCCAGTATATCTAATTATAGCTCCTACACATCATTCACCTCAATTCCTTTGTCTTTCCACCTTTAGCTTACCTGCATCTATTTACCATACTTTGTCCACTCTCTTGTTTCAAACATTGAATAAGGGCTGGAGTAGTGGCTTAAGTGGTAGAATGCCTGCCTAGCAAGTATAAGGCCGAGTTCAATCCTCAGTACCAACAAAAAACAAAACAAATGAATAAACAAGCTGAAAGGAAGAAAAGTTGAGTAAAAATCAGCCCAATGTAGCCAGACAATAATGGCTCACCTCTATAATACTAGCTACTCAGGAGGATTGGCCAAATAGTTCTACAGACCCTATCTTGAAAAAAATCTTCACAGAAAAGGGCTGGCAGAGTTGATCAAGGTGTAGGCCCTGAGTTCAAACCCCATACTGCAAAAAAAGAATCAGCCCATTCTGCTCTGGTTATTTTATGCTACTGGAGCTTGAACTCAGGGCCTTCACCTTAAGCCACTCCACCAGCCCTATTTTTGTGAAGGGTTTTTCAGGATAGGGTCTTTCAGACCTATTTGCCCAGGCTGGCTTCAAACTGATCCCTCCTGATCTCAGTCTCTTGAATATCTAGGATTGCAGGCGTGAGCCACCAGGCTCACTCTGGTTATTTTAGAGATGAACTCTAGAAAACTATTTGCCTAGGCCAGCCTTGAACCACAATGCTCTTGATCTTAGTCTCCCAAGTAGCAAGGATTACAGGTGTGAGTCACCAGTGCCCAGCCTGTAGTCTTACCTCTACCCTGAGTGCCAATTTTAGATCTCCAAATTACCTTCTACACATATTCTCAACTGCCTTAGTAATTATCAAACTCAGTAAGCCCCATAAAGAACTCTTGATTTAGCTGAGCACAGGGTGGCTCACATCTGTAATACTACCTACTCAGGAGGCAGAGATCAGGAGGATCACGGTTTGAAGCCAGCCTCGGGCAAATAGTTCGACAGACCCTATCTCAAAAATATTCATCACAAATAAAAAAAAAAAAAGGTTGGTAAAGAGGCTCAAGCAATAAAAGGGCCTGCCTAGCAAGCATGAGACCCTGAGTTCAAACCTCAATGCTGCCCAAAAAAAAAAAATTTATCTGTCAGAAACTGATGTTTCCTCTCCAGTCTTTCAATTTTAGTAAATACTCCAGATGTTTTTGGAGACAGGCTCTTGCTATATGGCCCAAGTTGGCCTGGAGCTCATGATCCTCCTACTTTTCAGTGTTCAGAGTGCTAGAATTATAGGCATACACTGTTCAGGAGATGATCTGTGTGGGCAAAACCCACACAGATCAAACTACTCAAAAAAAGTTTTTTTTTTTTTCCTGTCCCAGGGTTTTAAAAGCAAGACCCATTGGGTTTAGTTTGAAATTATATTCCAAATCAGACCATTTCTCACTAACTTCGAACTCTACACCTCTGTACAGTAACTCAACCGATTACTACAAAGCCTCTTCATGCAGAGCTGGTTTTCTCCTTCCCTGTCTATTCTCCATTCAGCAACTTGTCATCTCAAGCATAAATCAGATGTCACCCTACTGCACAAAACCTTTCATTTGTCCCTCATTACAAATAGGCTCAATCTTACTGACTTGCTAGTTATTCACCTGACCTTATCTCCCACCACTCTTCCTCAGCAACTCCTTGAATAGGTCAAGTTCATACATACTGAAAGGTCTTTGCATTTAGTTCACTGCTGATAATCTTTTAAATCTCATCACTTGACTAGCCAAAATATCAACTCCTCAAGTTCTTCCCTGATCACCCTATCATCATCCTGTCCCAGTCACACTAGGACCTTCAACATGATCCTCTCAATCTCAGTTTCCCAAGTAGCTAGGATTACAGACGTGAGCCACTGTGCCCAGCTCCAGCCCTCCTGTTCTTACATTTATCACTGCCTAAAACTGCATCTCATACACACACACACACTCAAGGAAGGCAGGCCTGGAACACTGTGTAGTAGATGCTTGATAAGTATTTGACTTTAAGAAATCATTTTCTTAAATCACCAAGACTTATTTCAGGTATTTCAAGTATTTCAGGTATCATTGGATGGGCTTTGCCTAATTTCATTTAATAAAGTAGCAATAAGCATTTGGGACACCATGTTAGCTGAAGTGCATCAGAATACATATGAGCATAAATTCAAAGTTTTCCTGGTTATTTTCCAGTATTGAAAAAAATCTACCTACCTCCCCGCCTCACGGAAAAAAAATCCACAGGCATTTTAGAAGATTTAGGCAATTAACTATTTCTTTAGCACTCAAAATGTAACTTCAGGGTGTAAACTACTGCCTAATTATATTGCAGTTACCATCTAGAAATGAAACCAGTTCATTTCTTTCCACTTGAAATAAATGTGTGCATACTTTCTGAATATTTTTAAATGGTAATTAAGACCATAGCCAACTTGTTTGTGTGTAGTGTTGGAGATAAAACCCAAGGCCTCTTGCATATTAAGCAATCACTCTATAACTCAATTACATCCCCAGCCTGGTGGTTATTGGGAAAATGCCCTATTTAACAAACAGAGGAGTCATTTACAAATTATGTAGGGAGCTGGGGATACAGATACAGTTCAACGATAGAGCATCTGCCTAGCATACTCGCAGCCCTGGGTTAATCCCGAGCACCGCCAATTTTTTTAAATAAAAATTAAACAGTAATTCTAAATCACCACTGCAACAAACAAATATCCATGATGGGAGGGCCCCAGCGTTTTCCTCGCCATTTTATCTCCGAAAGAAAAAAATCCGCTTGTGAATTGTGTTGTTTGAATTAACACGAATTATATTACAATGCAAACGAGATCAGATATTTATCATTTTAGGCCACTTTGCAGAAGACAACTTGGGGATTAAAAGCAAACGAAGTTTTAAAACTAGAGATTTCGGTCGCTTTCTACACTGAAAGATGCTGACTGGAATGCACAAACTCCGTAGTTACCTGTTACTACAGAGATTTCAGTTCTCTACGGGAAACTTAATGGGCGCTGAACTTGGTACCAGATACCACCTTTCAGACAAGACTGGGAGGTGGATGCACGAAAGCCCCAGTCCACCCTATCAGGCAGAGATCGCCAACAAATTACCCAGAAGGTAAACTTTTTCCGGGCCCGGCAGCGGAAAGGAGAGAGGACCCTCTCCTGAGAGTAGAGACTGACTCTAAAAAAAAAAAGAACGAATCTGAGCGCACATGAGGAAAGCAAAAAAGGATCGCGACAAGGCTGCCATGCTCCTAACTCCACCCTCCCTGCGATCAGCCTAGAGAAGGCCCAGACAGCCTCCCCTCCTTCCAAGCCCTCCGAGCGGCGCCAGGAAAGGTTCCGCGGACCTCCACTCCCCTCCCCCAAACGAGGAGCTGGGGAGGCCCGGGAGATTAAGAGCTTCCGTTCTTCCCCGCCCAGTGGAAAGAAGTGAGAAGTGGGATGGCGAACACACACACCCAGCCCCAGCCTCCCTCGTCCTCCACGCGAACCCGGAATCCGGTTCCCACCCCAACCCAAGACTTACTTGTCAGTCCTGCAGCTAATGCAGCCACCGCAGCTGTCTCCCCGGTGTACCGCCACAGCCCCTATTCCAGGGCCGCCCCCCCCGCCCCAGCTGCTCGCCCCCGTGGGTTCCGGGGCAGTCGAAGGAATTACTTCCGCCCGGTCACAGCCGCTTTCTGAAACACGCGGGAGACAGTGCTGGTGAGGCCGAGAGGCAGTCTGTTACCCACTTCCGTCTGATAGAATTGTGTAGCGCCCCCTCTCTTCCTCTTGAGTAATACAGACCCGCCTAAGGGACGTCCTATTGGCAAATGTCAACCAATCAGATTCTAGGTTTTCTAGATTCCCAGCATGCAGTGCAGACCCGATCCAATTTCTGCTGAGAGGCGCTAGGGAATCCGAAGCTGCACTGCATCCTGGGATTTGGGCGGGTACTGTTGGTGTCTGACCTGAAGGTGCGCTGCATACTGGGACTTGTAGTTTCTCGTGCTGCGTGTTCACACTTTGGTGGATTTAGAGGTTTTTCGTGCTATGGTTTGGGTGTAATCCTGGATGTGAAAGAGGACAAAGGAGAGACTGAGACATGAACATGCGGCTGCTATGCTAACAAGATAGTGCTCTTACCGAAGCAGCAGCTGCCCTTTGTGCATCTCAACGGTAGGCGCAATGTTCTTGCCTCATTTCCTCTTTTCCCGGTATCCGTCAATGTTTACTTTCAACTAACCACGCCCCCACTCGCACCCTTGGCTCTTCGCGCCCTTCGGGTTTCCCCAGCTCTGCTAGATCCTGAGCTTACTCAAAGGGCAGGCAGGCTCCTGCCCCCATGACTGATTATGAGACCATCTTTCTGCACACCCTGCTTCGCGCCCACCGCCTCTCTTTTTCGATCATCCTGTTCTTTTCACTTGCTTTCCTGTGGTTAGGAAAGGTTAGGCACATTGTTTGGAAAGCTGAAGCCACCAAATTAGGTTTGCCCTCTTACTGTTTTTGTTGAATGTGACTTAAAGAGAATGTACAGCCAAGACACACAGTGTTGCAAGTTTCTCAACTGGGCACTGTTGCGTAACAAGGACCACAAAGGAAACTAGATATAGGCAAACCAGAATTTATTGCTCTTATGCTAACAAATAACTTGTGCCAGAAAGGTTTTTTTTTTTTTGACTTGGTTTGGTTTTTGAGACAGAGTCTCACAGCGTAGCTCAGATCAACTGCCAACTCACAATCTCACCTAAGCCTCCCCAGTGCTGGGATTATAGTTGGGGGCCATCGTGCCCAGGTCTTTTTTTTTTTTAAGTTCACTTGGCAGATAAAAGATATTTTCGATTTAACTTGTCAAGGCCTTTGCAGAAATAATGAAAGCGTGGCGGTATTGGTAACTCTAGAAAATAGAGTTTGATGGGGAGGAGAGGCACAGGTGCAGAAGGCAAAACAAAAAACCTCAACAAACCCTCTACGTTGTGGATTTGGGGGAGCCATGGGTTGGTAAAAGAACTCACAGAGAGGGAGAGTAGGAGAAAACAAAGATTTATTAGGACGCCATTAAGAGAAGAGACAAATGGTGGGTGGCTATGCGAGGTATAGTAGCTGCTGAGACGGGGTTTACAGTAAGTTTTATTCCTCAGGTTAGGCTACTTCTGATTGACCATCTCTGCTTTTGTGGATCTTACTGATTGGTTGTCTCTTCCTGGGATCATGGTTTGAATTTCTCACACAAGAACATCTCTGTTTCACCTGTGCCTCCAAGGGGGCAGGATCAACCCCCACATTTCATATGTTCCTTGGTATTTATTTGTCTGCCATGGTTCCTTAAAATGGGGGCTTCCTCCACACTCTGTCATTTGTTTTTCTTTTCCTCCTCCGGTGGTGCTGTGGTTTGAACGCAGGACTTCATGCCAGCCAAGTAGGCATGCTACCACTTGAGCCACTCCTCCAGCTTCACCTGCTTTCAGTTACTTGCTTTTATTACCAGTTTTAAAAGTCAAGTAGCTAAGCTACTTTAAGTATACTGCCATTAAGTTTGCTGTAGATAACACCTCTGACATATGGTTACAATGGTAATTGCTGCCTAAGTTGTTTTCCAGGAACTTGGAAGCTGCTTGTCTATCTCAAACTCTTAATGATTGATCCTTCACTTGGGCCTGTACAGGTGTCCACTGAGTGACCTTTTGACAACAGAAGGCAGGATCCCTCAGAGTGTTAGCTCCTAAGCAAGGCAGTCATCTGTAGGGACAGATTTCTATATTCATGCCCCTTCAAAGTGTCCTTTATTTTGTTTCAGCTAAAACTTTTTGGAAAAAATTGAGCATTCCCAAAACCATCTTTCCTTCTTAAACTATGACCCTACACTTACCTCTAAAGTGCATTTCTATGTGAATATATACAGGCTCCCCAAATAAAATTCCCATGCTTCCCATGCTTTGTTCAAGAAGGGCATTGCTTTGTAAACAACATCTGTGTGGAACCACCGGCTTCTGGGCTCCACTGTACTTCTCTAGCTGTAGCCTTTCCTTTCTGTCTAATAAATCCTACTTTATATACATAAAATAAAATAACTTCTGTGTGCTCCTTACCTGCTACAGGTAATAAATTGTTTTCCACTCATGTCTTGGTTATGCTTCTTTGTGCGTGTGTGTTGGCGGGGGCTTTGCATCCACAAAGATGCAAAATTCATCGAGTTCTGCTACATGGTCATGCTAATGCTGATATTTTTTGATCATGAGTTCTAGGAAAAGTGGCTTACATGTGTAGATCACTGATTACTTCACTTTTTCCTGCCTCTAACTGCCTTTCCCCCTGCCTCAGAGCATTGTGTTTCATTATCCCATAAATACCCCAATCTTATTGTCCTGTCTCCACAATTAGCAACTTGTGAGTAAATTCTTTTGCAAAACTCATATTTTGTTAGTGTTAGGTCCCTGGCATTATTGGGGTAGGCGGAAGGTCCTGAGGCTAACACTGAAATCAGACCACCTGATTTATAACCACTTGCCAAACTTCCCTGCTTGTTCCCCTGCTTGTTTCCCTGCTTGCAAAATCTCAGGAACTTCCAGTTTCTCAACTAGCCAGGCATGTCAACCTGTTCCATCTGGTGATTGCAGATAATCGGAGACCAGAGACTCTCTCCCTCCCCCATGGCTTGACCCCTCCTATAAAGCCCACTACCCATTCCAGCCGAGCCACTGCTCTCTGATCTCAAGGGGGACAGCCCAGCAGTCTGTAATAAATCTTTCTTTTCCCCATGTGGCAAGGTCCGTCTTTATTCGGCAGTTCCTTACATCTGATGCCGAAACCCGGGAGAGGTTAACAGGATGCTCCTGCCTGGGGCTGCTCCCTTGGCCTTTGTGTCCTGCCCTCTCCCGAACCCAGACTGCTGAATTGACCCCATGTGCCTACGGATTGTGGATATTGGACCTTACTGCCTTGCCAGCTTTCCCATCCATCATTAGTCTCTCTTCCACTGCTCTCCACCTGACCTACTCCTTTCCTCAGATTCGGTAAATGTCACCCTACTTGGGTCTGCCTGCTTTCTCTCTCTGGTCTCGGAAGTTATGGCGCTATGCCAGGTATGCCTCCTACCCCCACTGGGGTGCCCACCACTTAGTACGGGGACACCTGGCTAACTGATTGGGCATTCTCTGTCGGATGGCAACCCAGGCCAGGGACGCCTGCCCTTGGGAACTCGTTTGGGTGACACTTCCCCCTCCCTCTCACTCTCTCTCTCTTGCTCTCCCTTTCTGTTTTCCTTTCCTCTGTCTAGGGTGAGAGCTCAACAGCCCCTCCAGCTTACTATGACCAAACGGCAACTAGACAATTTTTCTCTCCTTGCCTGAGTCACGTAAGGGAGGCTAGATCTTGACCTAGATCTATATTAGCCTGAAAAGTAAACTAACTAAGTCACCTGCCTTGCTCTCTCTCTCTCTCTCTTTCTCTCCCCTTTTTCTTCTACATTATGGGGACCACACACTCTAAATTAAATGTGTTTACTGGGATGCCTTCTCTGCACCCTCCCCTTGGTCTCCAAGACCATATATAACCTAAGTGACTGATTTTCACACACTTCTAGAGCTTGAAAATTTCTGCCATTGCAATGGCAAGTGGTCCGAAATTCCATTCATCTAAGCTTTCCTTTCTTTATGCTCTCAACCCTCCCTCCTCCAATCTTGTAATGCTGTTCAAATATTCCTTGGCAGCGACAAACCCCCTCAAAGTCTGTGTCTCTCCCTCCCACTGAACCCTTTTCTGAAGACTCTTCTCTTACTTGTGACCTCATGGGCTCTGTCTGCCCACCTCCCAACTCCTCCTGCTGGTCCTCTACTTCGATCTCTTCTCCCACCCCATCCTCCCATGACTCAGACCCCCCTTCTTCCACCACTGCTGGCTCTCCCAAACATCTGCCACCCTATTCCCCTTCTACAATAGTTACAATTGACCCTGTGCCATCGGCTCCTCAGGAACCAACACTACCAACATTGCCCTCAGCCCCTGCTACACCCTCACCCTTCTACCCACCTGCATCCCATACCTGCTCCCAGTCCATCTCTACCCAATCAGGGAGGTGGCAGGAGCTGACGGCATTATCAGAGTCCATGTGCCCTTTTCCATGACTGACCTCTCTCAAATTGAAAAGAGACTTGGCTCCTTCTCTAATGACTCAGTCTCCTATATTAAAGATTCTTTCCTCCACTTTAACTTCAGATGAGAAGGAAAGAGTTTGGTTGGCAGCCCAGGCACATGCCAATGATGTTCACTGCATAGATCTCACTCTCCTGGTGGGATCTATGGCTGTGCCACATAAGGATCCACATTGGGACTATCAGGACCCCACCATGCTAGCCACCTGAAATTATATGCTTGCCTGCCTCCTTGTGGGGCTACAGATTGCTTCCTATAGGACAGTCAATTTTGACAAACTTAGAGAATTTATCCAATGCCCAACTGAAAATCCCGCTGACTTCTTAGAGCACCTTACTGAAGCTTTAAACAGGCAGAGGATGGCCCTCAAACCCCCCAGGGAGATCTTGTGAAAATGGCATTTAAGATATTTAATAACTGAGATGAGGCTTGAGACCAGCGAAAAGCCCAGCTCTTGGCGGCTGCCCTGAGGCTGCCTCCTCCAACTTCCAGACGGGCCTAACAACAATGCATACATCCAGGGGTCTGCTTCAAGTACAACTAGACAAGACACTGGACAAA